TGCTAAGGGGAAGTTGTAGCCTATCCTATGCACCGTAACCTTACTTTTTCTCTTCAACTGTTCAAATGCATTTCAATGGCTCTATTTACCAAAATTGGAGAGCAGCCCAATTCATTTCAAGAAAGGGGGAGTTAAAATGAAACCAATTGCCCAAATTAATTTTCACGGGATAAATGTTAATTACCACCAATGGTGATTTAATCTAAAAGCTCGGATTTAATTGGTTTAATCTCTACCCAGTTTCCAGATTACATTTTTTTAAGGCTTGAGGTTTAATCATCACCGTTGGTTACTGATTCAAAGCCAGATTAGCGACTCTAGAGCTAGAAGGGTTGAGTTTCTTTCCGCAATACCCACGTGATTCCAACGACAAGAAGTCAACAGAAAAGTGAAAGCAGAAACTACTCCCCATAACCATTAAATTCTAGGAAAACAACTGAGTTTCCTTCCATACCCGTGAAGATTTCGTTAGTGAGACATTCAATTCCAGTTTGCAAGGAATGGACAAGAAACAAGGGAGTTGGTTGTCAAAAAGTCAAAACTGATCATCATAGCTGACTCCTGATGTGGGATGTTCCTGTCATAACAACTACTACTCCCTTATTTACTGGTGCAAACACTTCTCAGGAAAGATCCTTCATATATTAAGGAATCATCATCATACAGATTTCCTATAAATATAAGAGGATGTGAACTAGAGAGAGGACAACAAAAAATCAAAATCAAAACAAAAACTCTCAGTCATACTGACAAAAAATCAAGCAAAATCACACAATCTTAAAAGTCTTCAAACTTAGAAGCAATAAGGCTATCTAGCTTGCAAAATCCATCCAGCTTCCAACAAAACAGGCAGAAATCGAATCTCTGACTTCAATCCAGCTCGGAGGAGTAGTTCACAGGGAAAACGGATTCCTCTCGTTACAAATCTGGTTCAGAATAGGTGATCCAAGTAGAACTCAGGTTGTTCATAATATGAAAACCTCAACAAATTTTCAGAGACATCTTGATGTCTTAAAATCCCCAGAATAGCCCACAGGTGATCCTCAGTCAAGCAGAATAGATACTAAAGTGCAATTTTAGGCTAGCAACTGCCAACCCATCCACTTTCAATTCAGTCCGGATTGGAGAAATCCCAGTTCTGCCCATTCGACAAGCCTCTTCATGGCTCAGATTAATTATAGCTCTGCCAATCTCGACATTGGCATCGATTTCCAGTTGATCTCTATTAGTTGAAGGTGCTGACGTGCAAATTCCAGTACAGATACATCTAGTCCAGCCTAAGTCACAGACAACAACCCAAGCAGAAATTGAAGCCCAATTTTCTAATGTTTTTCTAGACTTGGCAGTCTCTTTTTGTTTAATGTATGATAAGCAGTTCTCTTTGAACTAGTTTGTTTTATTTTCAAACGCTTATTTTTGGCTAGACTTACTAGTTTTTACTGTGGGAAATTATAAAGTCCTCACCCGTCTGAGGCAAGAAAAGCACTTTCTTGGGAGATATTCCTCACCCAAATTCACAATCCCGTCTGAAAGTGACTTCACTATGCTGCCAACGTGCCGCCACATGTGCCGGCAGCGCGTGGGTGGCTTGATCAGCTTCCTACCCTAGGTAAAACACCCTATTTGGAACAACTTTTCTTCTTGGACCTACCCCAAAAAAGTAGCGGTAAGTGGCCAAAATCGCGATCCCAAACCCGGTTGAAACCCACTTCGAAAATCGAACTACCTAGGCTCAAAATTGATAGATTCCTACCCAACCCTCAGCTAGATCATGAAAAATTAGTGAGAAAGCATACCTCACTCGCATGAAACGGTGGCCGAAGAAGGGAGAACGAGCCGCCGAAAGTTTACGAAAAAGTTGTCCACAACCTCCTGTTTCTTGGCTGTTTTCGGCGATTACAGCTGTGGATTGAGGCAGTGAAGGGCTGGGGCTGGAAGAGGGAAGTGTAGTGGTTCCAACGGGACCGGTCTTGTGTGAATTGGTGGTCGAAGTTGAGAGGAATCACCTCTTGAAGTCGGCTGGTCGAGCCCCCCAAACTGCAGAAATTCTGGGTTTATAAAAAATGGTTAATTACTGTAGATGTCCGTGAACTATGGCCCCCAGTTGCAATTGGGTCCGTGAACTAATTTTTGTGCCAATTACATCCTTTAATTAGACAATTAGTTGCAATTGGGTCCT